GAGCCCCAGGACAGGAATGATGCCCTAGGGCTTGGGAATCCACAGGGTTTGCAGCCAGCTGAGCTGGGCTAGGCTGGGCTGAGCTGCTCCTTTTCAGCTGGTGCCATGGCAGGAGCCATGGGAGACCAGGTTACAGAACGTGACACTGCACCTTTCAGAGGTGTCAGATGGACATAGCTTTACAGCTTGTCCCTCTCTTGTGAAAAGCTCTCACCCAGACCTGCAGAAAGCTCCTCTCCAGACACAGCCCAGCACTCTCTGGCTGTTTACACAAAGATCAGAAAGCGGCACCATTCTAGAAACCTTGATTTGTGAAAAAAATCAAAGTACCTCTGGGGACTCACTTGGCAGGAGCAGTTGGAAGGGAAAGCATGTGTTAGTTTCTGCTCTCACCTCCTTTGATCTCTAAACATTTGGGAAGGAAACCTGAGTGGTTTGGAACAGTGGGGACTGAAAATGCGAGGTGCCAAGAGCCCTGAGCTCCCACCAGGCAAGCACAGTCCAGGCTGCAGGCTCCTTGGCCAGAGCCCCACTTCACTCACAGCACCTCACTGCTCCCAGCCTGGCAGGGCTCAGCAACCCCACCCCAACCCTGTCCAGCTCCTGGGGAGCCTCCCAGGATGCTCTCTCCACCAAAGAGAAACTAACTCATAGGATTCACAGGAAAAGGAGCAGTCAGAGGAGGCACCACGAGCACCACACCAGCTGTTTGATCAGCCCGAGTGGAGGGCACAGCCCAGCCAGGGGCTGAGATGAGCCAGTCAGAGCCATCAGCTGAAGAGGCTTCCTGAGAGGGGTCTGTGAAACCATAATGACCAATCTACAGGGAATTAGAGCTTGGAAAATACAAATGCAACATGTAACACTTGGGGTGGTGCATCTGTTTTGACAGATTAAAATGTAATTCAGGACAAAGCCTCAGTGCCTGGAGCGCTCTGCTCTCATCTTCCTACTCTGTTAACTCGATGGAGATGGGACCGCCTGCCTGTACCTGCTGCAGCTCTCCAGGTCTCTGCAGAGCCCTCCTGCCAAGCACTGAGCAGAAACCTCCCCAGGGACCACTTCTGACAGGCAGACTTTTGTCTGTAGGATCTCCTGGAAGCCTCCCTAAAGACCATGTACTGTCATTTTGGGGTTTCTGTACAGGAACAACCTGTGCTTATTTCTGCACTCCCATAAGTGCAATTCGTTTCAGTATCTTTCACTCTTCTTTCTACCTGACCACCACAAAGACCCAATAAGCTGGGCTGCATGGTGTTATTAGCCAGCACAGGAGAACAGATAGGCACCTCCCCAGAAAGCCCAGTGACAGCCAAAGCTCTGAGCATCTTGGCTTTCACCATTAAAGAAAACCTTATTGTCCCTTTCTGCTCCCAGCTCTGAGCTAAATCAAATGCATGCTGTGCTCCAATAACTGGTTTGTTGAGGACTGAGGATCTCACCTGGTAAGAGGTCATCAGGTAGAGGTAAGTGGAATCAGAAGGGTCAAATTGCATGATGGGGTGGACAGGCTCTCCATAAGCCACCGAAATGGATCTCCTGCTAATAACCTTCATCGTGCTGTCCAGGTTTATCTGTAGAGAGAAGAGGCCACTCGCTGAGAACATTTTCAAACACTAAGGGCAGAAGATTATTTCTCCTTGGTTATAAATAAAAACCAGAGTGGTATTCAGCGGTGCCCCAAGCTGTCCAGCACTGTGAATCTCTGCACACACAGAGCTCTCCTGGAAAGCCAGCTCTGTGTCGCTGGGCAGGCAAGGCACGGCCCAGAAAGCCCCAGCCCTGCTCAGTGGGGCAGGACCCTCACTGTCCCTGGTCCCTCTGGAAGGTGACAGATTGGAGGCTCTGCCCCTGCACAGCTTCATCCAACGGGCACAGCAGCGTTTGTGTTACCCTCGTGCAAGCGGCACCAGCCTGCAGGCCTCGTCACATACACACTCACATTCCGTACAGAGAACATCGAGTTCCCAAAACTTAATGAAAAACAGTGAAAATCAGCAACACGGCTGTACAGCATGGCATCTCCTGCTCCCTGCATATTTGAAAAATAAGTGTTGTCACTCCCAGGCAGAAGAAGCTTCTATCCCTGCTGACTCCAGAAGACCACGGCAGCTGCCACCAGAGTGCCAAGTCCTACCTTGCCTCATGAATCACCAGCCGAAGCGCTGGCAGTGATGGAGGAGGCTGCACAGCATCAGCCTGCCTTTCAGTTCTCTGAATGTCTTGGCATTTGACTTGAAAATTCAGTAAATTAAATGTGGCATTGCTGAGAGGAAATAACAATGGGGCTACACAATTTCTTGTGACAGTCACTTTTCAGCTTAAAACAGAAAGGGAGTGCGGAAAATTCTGGCCTTCTTACTAGCAAGGGAAGGCAATATTTGTAATGACCAAGTGTGCCTCTGTTCTCTAAATGTGGATTAATTAATTAACATAGGTTAATTAATTCTTACACCAGAGCAGCACTGACACACCCCAGTATGACAGCACAGGCTCAGGCTTCTCTCTGCTAAGAAACATAGCACAGAGAGCTATGCAGAAAAAGGGTACTATTGCTTTGTCCATTTTAAAAGCTGGCTAGCCAGAAGCTAAATTATTTCCCTGGTATCAGCCAAGAAGTCCATGAACTGAGCCCTGACATTCCCCGCTGCATTCTCTCTCCCTCGCTGCTGAGATGTGCTCCACGGGGCTGTTTACAGACACCCGGTCTGGCTCCCTCTGCCTCCTGGGCATGTTCACCTGCATCCTCCTCACACAGGCGATGTCCCTGGATTCCAGGGGGCTGCGGGCCCTGCGGAGAGCCCCCACAGCAGCGCAGAGGGCGGTGACTGCTGGTGCTGGTGCAGCAGGGGAGCTGCTGGGGCGGCTGGAGGACACAGACTGCCCGGGGTGCTGGGGGGAGCACAGCACATCCTGGGTAATGCCAGGACTCGTCTGCTTGCACACTGCACTTCCACACCCGCACACAGCAGGAGAGAGCTCTCCTTGCCACCGTGTCCCTTGAGGGCACTGCACCTGGCACGGCTGTGCTGCCCAAGCACTGCTGACCCTCTCGTGATGGCTAGATTGGTCCTCACTAAATGCCTGTCTGCAGCCAGAATTGCATTAATTCGCCATACATGCCCCTGGCAGCCCTAATTGCTGCTGGCAGGAGCTGGGCAGGCACTATTTCTGCCCCTCTGCTGTCTTTTCTCAGGCCACAAATCTGAATGATTTGCTCACGCAAAGTACCTTGCGTCCCGTGCCAAAGAGCAAGGAGCCCAAAGGTAGAAGGGCTTCTGGTTATGCAGCTGTGTTGTGGAATTAGATTACAGCTATCTGAGCAAATTATCCGAGCGCAGGGTAGCCAGGAGCCTCTCCCTAATGGAGGCCGTGCAGATAAGGCCGGCTCTCGGAGATGATAATGGAGCAGAGCTGTTGATGCCGTGTGAACGGGCTGCTCCGCGTGTGGCATGTGCCCCCCGGCCTGCTGCGCCTGGCCCAGCGCCAGCCCCCTCCCACCACACAGCCACCTGCCCCTGGGGCAGCAATCAAAGCAGGGAGCCTCTCTGTGATCCTGAGCGCTCCCACACTTCTGCCAGGAGCGAGGAGATGCAAGGGGAAAATCTGGGTAAGTTTTCTTCTACCCAAGTATTTTGATCCAGTATTCCACATTATGCACCAGTCCCCCCAGGCAGAGATAAAGCAGGTATCAGCTGTCTCTGCTCCAGGCCTTTTCCCCTTCTTCTCTAAGGACTTTTGATACTGGCAGTTTACCAGACTGCTGCAGCTGCCTGCAATCAAAACTTTCCCTGGCAAACCTCAAGCACTAAGGTTACTGAGAGCTTGGCCTTGTGTCCTGGCTGCAGAGCTGGGGCACTGCATCACCCTGCATCACCTCTTACATGTTAGTTAGAGCAGACTCCACCATGGGTTCACACCTGCTTTGGATTCAGCTGTGAAGAATCTCTTTGTAATTCCCCTGTCTACATGGAGTCTTCAAAAGCCAGCACCTCAGAGGGAGAATTTATTAGAAGCGCTTCAAATAATTGTAATAACTTCAACAATTAAAACAATTAAAACAAAAAAACCCATTGTAATTAAAATGATATTATGTTGCATATATAATTGTATTGTTTTAAAATTATATTATTATAATTAATAAAATAGTTTAATAAAATTAATGTATAATTCAATGCTGCACAATAGCATTTTCAGCTTAGGGTTTTTCAAAAACATCCTGCTCACACGGCAGCCCTGAGCAGCGATTAACAGCCACCAGTCATCAGGCAGCGTGTATCACTGTCCAGGCTATGGCAGTACCAATGAGCTCCTCATTGCCTGAAGGCAGCAGGTGCACAAACCAAGGGACAACAGATGTGCTCCTGCGGGCAGACAGAGGTGTGGAAGGGGGAGCCCCGGCACCCACCCTGTCCCCAGCTGTGCTGCCCCACGCTGCTGCTGCTCTGCTGGGCCCCACTTGCCTTGAGGAGTCCTCCGCTGGCCGTGCCCAGGAACACGACCGTGTAGTTGTGGACACTGGCCACTGCCACGGCGGTCAGGCCGCTGTAGGTGAAGATGGGGGTGGCAGTGACCGGGTTCAGGATGGCCAGCGGGTGCTGCAGGTGCGCGGCTCCGCAGTCCAGCTGCTCCGGCTGCAGCTGCAGAGAGACACACACATCAACAGGCGGCACAATCGTGGCGTGCTCCCGGCCCCCCTCAGCAGCGCCGGGACACGCTGCTCAGAGCCCGCCCTGCCCGCCTGCAGCCCACACAACAGCAAAATGCAGCTGGCCCGGCTGCCGAGCTGACCCACGGCGCTGGCACCGGGCTGACAGCAGGCTCCCACATCCCTTCGCTGCCAGGGGCCAAGGCAAAGGCACTGCTTAAGGACTTGTCATCGACCTGTGTCTGTGAGCAGGCATTTGGCTTGTTTGGCCAAAAGCAAGGCAACGGTCTTGACTCTCCTGTGCTAAATTAATTAGTGCATTGGCTGCATGACAGCATCATTTGCAAGTGGAACTGATGCCTTGTATTCCTACTACCCTGCCAAGATGCACCCAAGATTTATGACCCCTCACTCCAAATCCTCTGAGATTCTCATATAATTTCTGTTCAGACAACTTGGATAGATTCAACAATGCCTGAACATCACAACAGTCTCACTGCTGACAATTCACCTGCAGTCACTCCTGCAGCAGCTTTTCTGAGCCGCAGCAGGTGCAGCTGGAGCCCTTCAAATTATGAATTATTACATTTCAAGGGCCATTACCACGTCATCCACAGTGGCCCAGGTTTAGCCCAGGGGATGCTGTGACCCCACTGTCACACTCCTTGGCAGGGCTGGCATTCCAGCAGCAGCAGGTATCCCCAGGTCACCTGTGCACCATCCAAGCCCCAGTTGTGGGAAGTGCCTGTACAAAATTTCAGCAAGAAATGCCTGCAAGGTTGCAGCCCACACCCCAAGGACAAAGCACATTTGTGCCTTTCTGAATCCAGTCATGAGGCAGATAGCGCTGCCACAGAAGCTGACAGAATTCTGAATTTAAGCAGAATAAACACAGGGATTTGAGGCTGTATCTGTCAGGGAATGGGGATGCAGTTTCCACCAGGCAGAAGGTGACCACCAGCCTGCTCAGCACAGTCCTTCCTCCCTGGACTACACCAGGGCCTGGATACTAATTCCCTAATCATCGTTACTATTTCATTAATAGAACCAGGCTAAAGCTTTGGCTCTCTCCTCTCTCCAGACAGTTCAGAAGATTAAGCAAATATGTAGGCTTTGCAACAGGAGGGTGAGACTAAGCAAGGTCTCTCTGCCAGGTCATCCCACTTTGGGGGGCAACTCTTGCCTCATGCCCATCTGCCCCCAAGCCACCGCTGTGTCTTGGGTTGGTGCCGCACCACAGCAACACATTCCTGGGGAGAAATGGGGAAGAAACTTGCTAAAACCCAAAGGGAATGCCAAGTGATGGGGCTTTGTGTGCATAAGCAAGGGATGGTGCCCCTGTACGAGCAAAAGAAACGAAGCCCCAGACAGACACCCCCAGTGACCTCCCTGTCGTGGCCACGACTGGTGCGGTGAGCGTGGGGACTGCAGGCTGTGGCACTGCCCACTGCTCCTCCCTGCACGGCAGAGGACAGCAGCAAACCTCACCAGGAGCTGGGGGTGCCAGCCAGCCCTTGGTGTGCTGCAGCAGCTGGTCAGCAAACACCGGGGCTACCCAGCAGAGCAGTCACCCCACAGCAACCTCTGCACAAGAGCACGCACCCCTGACCACAGGGTCCTGCTGCTGCCGACACAGCCAGGGCTCACGGTGCCACCAGAGACCGGCTGGGTCCTCTCCAAAAACCGCCCTGACCCTGGCCCCTGTGCCCCCCAGAGCCTGTGGCCACCGCTGGCTGCGCCAGACACGGAGTGACAAAAGCCTGATGTGAAAAACTTCCTCTGCTCAGACGAGCGCCAAACAGGGCAGCACATTCAAAGCTGTACCTCTGTTCTTAGGGGACCAAGACTAAAGGATCAAGTTTGTGGATGCAATGCTAAATGCATTCTGCAGTTTTACTGCATCTCATTCTAGTAAAAAGTAAAATCACAGCCCAAATACTTAAATGTGTATGTTTTCTCTGTAACTGAGCCACACAACTTTTTTATACTATACAGAGGACATGGCAAGCCGTTCATGTTTCTGATTTAATGATTGCTTCCCTTCACAAATAGCTTTTAGAAACTCACTTGGGGTTATTTACTTGTCTTAGGGATGGTTATCTCTATCTCTTCTTCATTACCCCTTAAGAAGATCACCACCTGAAGCTTACAAGGCTTTTTCCTGCAGGGAAACTGAGGCATAAAGGCATCTCCGGCCACCTGGGACCTCAAGGGATGCTCAGCACCTCCTGTCTATGGCAGCTGCACAGGAGCTGGGACCAGCATTACTGCCTGCCAGCCTGAAAAACTTGGCCCTTCCTCCTCACAGGTGGCCAAAATCACGGGAAGTCCCTTATCTGCAGCGCCTGCCTGCTTATAAATCATGTATTTCAGAGCTCATATCAGTGCGAAGTGTTTTCCACAGTAAACAGGATGTAACTATTCTAACCCAGGCCGAGCTTTATTTTGGCTGCACACATCCTTCCTCTGAAACACCTTTCTTCAAATGACATCAGATCTTCCAACAAACGGATGGGTAGGAGACATATGGCATTTCCCTCTCCCGGGCCCAAAGAAGGGATGACATGCTGTGCTGCTGCTACTCGCACCCCACAGCACCAAGAGGACAGCTAACTCCATCACGTTACAGTAAACAGGATACAACCAAGTCACATCCTTCTGCAGGCACCAGGCAGCCACCACAGCTGGGGAACTGCACTGCATGAATGGAATAGAAGGCCATCCACAAGTGGAAGGGGTTAAATTTCACTCTTTCTTAAATCAAGCTGCCCTATCCTGAAGTGGGAAAAGAACGAATGCTAAGTTTTCTTCCAAAACCAATCTCTTTCTATAATCTGCATTTTAAAACACCCCGTAGGCATTTACTGCATTTCCTCTATTTTTCTTTGACACGCTCTGGGTACTCAGTAACTCAGAACTGTGGGCTGACTCCAGATGAACGCCTCCTGCCCACAAGACTGCCCCTCTGTCGCTGGTGAGGAGCCTCTTGGGCGAAGCTGGGACTGCCCCAGCCAGCACCAGCCGAGCACTCTGCCCTGCCAGGACAGGGGAACACGCTGCCGTGCCCCTGCACACTGCAGCGTGTGCTACTGCTGCACAACTTCACAAGGGATGCAAATGGATTCAAATCAAGGGGCCACAGCTAAGAGGATGCTTACTCAGATTAACCCCTGAGTGCGATTGCAGGAACAAAATGGGACAGAGATAAAAGGTTTCCAGCCACATCAGAGCTCAAGAGTTCAGCTGTCTTCACAGTGTGAGTTCAGTTCTTTATCCCAGGCCTATAAGGAGCATAAAAAGCGATTTCCCAGAATTTCCATTACAGCTCCCCAGCCCTGGGCATGCAGGATGTCCCTTCGGGAAGGAAGTCTGTTGGAAACAGAAGGAGGAAGAGGAGTGGTGAGGCAGCTCTCAGGAAAACCATGAAATGCGCTGATTTCTGCATCCTGTGTTTGTGACCTTAAAAATAGTTCCCAAGCAAAGCTGGAGCTGATTTGTGACTCAGAAGCCGCGGCGCAAGGGAAGCCCAGAGCCCCTGGCCGAGGCCATGCGGGCTGCGCAGAGCTCCAGAGCCAGGAGGGAGCCCGGCCCCTCTCTGACTCCGTATCAGAGAGGATTAAAGTGCTGGCTTCCAGCATGCCTGGAGTCCTGGGAAAATGACACAGCCAGCATCGCATAATCCGCTCCAAACTTGTTGATTTGTGGGACTTAGCCATCATCTTCATAGGCTCAAAATTTGGCAGCTGCTCCCACACAACTGACATTTTCAGGCCATTAAAGGCTGTGATAAAAGGGCTCTAGTTTTATCTCTTGCCTTCCTTAACATAAACCATTAGGCTTTTATTAACATTTAGGTATGACTCAGGGAAATTTCTGACTGCAGAGCGAATATTCAGAATAATTAGGATATGGTCTGAAGAGAATAACAGGACACAGACTTGCACTGAACAGCAGGGACAGGCTAAAAACCAGTGGGGAAATATTTCACAGGAGAATGGACAGGGCCAGTGATGCCAAGCCAGCCCGGCTGCACCATGCTAAGGGAGAGTACAAGCCCTCTCTGTGTCGGGCAGAGCCCAGAGCAAGCACACAGCCCCAGCGTTCCCCCCGGAGCGCCCCAGCAGTTTGTGCGCACAATCACCCGTTTATCTGCTGCAGTGTCGCAACCAGACCTGTCAAAACCAGGCTTTTCGGGATGCCTGGAGGAAAATGTCATCCTCAGAAGAGGACTCCACTGTTGGGGCACTTGAGATGTAAGCAGTCTCCAGCTGCTCAAGGGCAAGCATTAGCACAGAGCTCCTCAGACTGCCCATCATATTTTTTTAGGCAACAGGAGGCAAATCAATGTGCACTTGTGGCCAGTCAAGGCACTCAGGCTGAGAATCTCTGGCAAAATTAATCTAGAGAATTTTTTTCTCAAGAATTACCAAGAGTACAGTATCCACTCAGCACAGCAGACATTCTTAAAAAAACAAAAAAAAAAGGCTTAAAGTGAGACTTGCACTCTGGTTTCACTGTTTGCTAAGACAAGTTCCTCAAGCAAGGAAGTGGGAGTTTTGCTGTGTTTTGCCCGTTTGCACAATGCCAGCCCTGGGCTAGGGTACTTTGTGAGTCACTAATGTGACACCAGCCATGGTCCATCCCAACATCCCTCTGCTCCCAGCAGCCACCCAGACCTTGTGCCTGCAGGGAGCTATCACTCTTAGAAAACCCATTCTTCCCTCTCTCTCCTCTTGACTCCAAGCTTTTCTTACCTGCCAGCTCCCAAATTTCACTCTTGGCAGCCTCCCATGGGACTGTGGCTGAGGCAAGGAAGGGGACAGGGCACAGAGGACTGCCAGAAGGCAGGAGACAGCAAGCACAGCACTGATGGCTGGGGAAGGCACAGCTGGGTCGGGCCACAGCCCTGCGGCTCAGCAGCAGCAGCAGCCACGCTCACCTCAAACCACCAGAGGTGTGAGACTGTGAGCGCTGGAAGAGGCTCTCAGCGTC